TCCATCTGGGATCCCGGTACTACTTACCTTACTGACTCAATCGAATCCGTTCAGAATAGATCTGCACGTTTTATTTTGGCTAATTATAACCAGACCGCAAGCGTGACATCAATGAAGGACATTTCACTTCTACCCAGCCTCGCACACCGCCGCAGAATTACTAGCATTTGTCTTTTTCACAAATTATTCCACCACAACCCAGTTTCCAGAAATTAGCTATTCACCCCACCATCATTCTTTTCAGCTCGTCTAGATCACCAGCACAAAGTAGGCATTCCATCTTGCCGCTACAATAAATATTTTAATTTGTTTATTCCGAGAGTCACAAAAGAATGGAATCAGTTACCTTCATCAGTTGCATCAATTGTTGATTGTGCTCTGTTTCGTACAAGTGTTAGTAACCATGTTTTCCCCATTATCGAAGTTTTGTTCTACTGTTGTTCCATGTTGTTTGTTTTGTTTATATCTACCACTCCCCTCTGTAATTCCCCTGGCCCCGAGGGTAAAATAAATAAATAAATAGGTAAATAGGTAAATAAATAGGAGGGACGTACGCACGTGTCGTTCACATGCGTGCATCCCTCCGCTGCGTTGGAAAATAACCGCAACAACAGACCAATCGCAGGTCGAGGAGAAGTGTTCACGCGCGTTGCATGCCGGTCGCGGGCCGGCTGCTTCTATCCAGAAACATGGCATCGTTTGTGATCGTCGACGTAGACGGCATGGTGGTAGCTCATCGTTCCGCATAAAAGCGCTATCCTTTACTGTGAATTGTCGTTGTGTGTCGCTATGATAACCCAGCACGTACTAGAAGGGAAGATCCACCTACTCGTGCGGCGATGTTGTGGCGGCGCTCTCAAGACGGCAGAAACGCCCGTGTCGTCGTGTTTGTTTACTTCGACTGCAGTGGTGCTTCCTAAGCATTTGTGTTTTCGAACATCGCCCGGATTTCTTATTTGAAGCATTTCATGCCTGTGCTCAAGTTGAAGGTATTACTGGCGCGTACCGTATAAAGGATGCGAATTTTCACGCGTTTTCATCACCGGAGAAAAGTGATTAGGGTTAGCAATCCTGAACGCTCACAACGTCCGTCCGCAACCCGCGACGCCGTTAAAAGGCTGCGCCAGGCAAAAGTCGCTCATTTCTTTCAAAATGTGTGACGCACTTGAGAGAGAAGTGTACTAGTCTGGTGAAATAAAGACTTTCCTCAGAGTAAGCTTTATTTTTCATCTAACATAAAATAAATTCTTTTACAAAGGTAAGTTGTCTGATGGCATGTATTTTGGCCTGAAAAATTTATGTTTTGGTTATAGCGTGGTACCGCTTATAGTGGGGATTTTCGCGACTCCCGCGACATATGTTATATGCGGTCTACACTGTATATATTCCTAGTATCCAGCGGTGTGCTTAGGTATATACTGCCACTACGCGTATAAAAACTCGTACAAGGTCCAACCGCTGACCGCCGAGGCCCACTCGCACGGTTCAAGTTTCGTTCACGGAGACGGCTGTTACCAAGGGCTGCTAGACACTCTCAACCTACGACGCAACATGCACCTCGCTGCGCCATTCTGTTAGGGATTAAACAAACGCATTTACCCGGAGTATGTGAAATTAGGCCTAACCACCTTCACGATTTCACTGACCGAAAGTGGACCACAGACGATGGCGTGTTTGTTGATATCAATGCATCCGATAGGCGAAGAATGTCCGGGGCTGGGCAATTCTTTGACCCAAGCTTCATCAAGTGTTCGCGCCACTTGGCTTCACGGCTGATCATTTTCGCAACTACCGCAACTACTCACTTGCAGCCATTAAGAGAGCGGCTGGGCTTGGCTTGAATTGGTCTGACCACTTGGAGGCAGAAGAAAATTGGCTTGGTGGCTAGCTAGATTAGACGCAATTCGAGACTCGCTGAGCCGAAAATACAAAATGCGTTGATTACGCGAGGGAAAAAAAAAAATGTCCACATATTGGTCCCCGTTGCGGGAGGCATGTTCATTATGCGAGTAAATACGGTACTACAGGCCCAAGCTCCCGGAGACTGTCCTGCAGCTAGCACACCAAGCTAGCAGACACACCGCCAGTACTGCCACTGGCAAAGTTTGTCGACAGTCGAGACACCAGGGCCGGATTGTTCATCTTGCGGCTGCGGCCGCGGCCGCGGCCAAGAGGGATTTTTCCGTCACGTGACCAGCTCCAAGGGGACATTGAAGTACCTAGCGTCCCTGCCAAATGGCGGAGAGATCCGCATCGCTTCAAGCATAAAAGCCTAATGTCGCTCGCAGAAACTGATTGCAGGGACTTTCAATTGGAGTCCAATTGACCGCCCCTTTCTACTGTAGGAGCGGCAGGTAAAGTTACGGCTAGGGAGGGTAAAAAGAAGCCAAAATAAAGAAGAAACCACAGGAGATAAAAGCAGTAGCAGCATATATTTATCTACCTCCGCCGGCGCCTCGCGCGTTCTGCTATGGGACTTTTTTTTTTTTTTTTTACTTCTTTTTTTTTTTTGTATTTTGCGCGTGTCTTACTTTTTAACTGTGATCCTTTTTAGGAAATCATCCACTTGCACTACTGCGCCTTACACGATTTTTACTGTTAGTCTTACCTGTTCAATCGAAACACCGGGAAGAAAAAAAAAAAAAGGATCAACGCAAGTTAACGCACTAATACAATCATTTCATAATGTTCATTAAAAGGAAACCAAGATAACAGCATCGCTATGGCTTTCACACTAACGGAGCCGAAACAAGCATCCTTTCCCCAGCAACTAGTTTTATGTGTTTTTTAAATATACAACGCTCTTGCTACGATTCCTTTCAATAACAAGAGACGCCTATTTAGGACTAATAAAAACTGCAGTTGTGACAATTTAAAAAAAACGAAAAAAAAAAAACAAGCAAAAAGAAAAAAAAAAAAAGACTAGCAACTGTGGCTACACTGATTGAGCGAAATTCTACAGGCAAGGCAGCAAGTCAAACGTCTGAGAGAGTAGTAAAACCGAAATAAAAGCGATCATACTTTTACTTGCATGGAATGTGATAAAAGGTATATTTATACTCTTTACATTTTGTTGTGGCAATCGTTTTGTAATATTACCACATTACTTGTTGAATTTTAGTTAGATTAGCGGACGATCACGACCGAATGCAAAAATGAATCAGGCGTCGACATCGCAAACCCTCTCTCTAATGCAAACAGCTAAAATGACTTTGGAACAACAAATGGAATTCATTATAATTAATTCCATTTATGATCCAAAGTCATTTTAAGTCCCTCACTCTAGTGCAAACTCCTAAAATGACTTTGGATCAACAAATGGAATGAAATGATTGTATTAGCGCGTTAACTTGCGTTCATCTTTTTTTTTTCTTCCCGATGTTTCGATTGAACAGGTGGGACTAACAGAAAAAACCGTGTAAGGCGCAGTAGTGCAAGTGGATGATTTCCTAAAAAGGATCACAGCTAAAAAGTAAGACGCGCACAAAATGCAAAAAAAAAAAAGAAAAAAAAAAGAAGTCTCTAGCACGATTTGAACCCGGAACTTTTACGCCGCGACGACAAGTACCGGCGCTTTAACCTCTCGACCATAGCAGCAGGCGCAAGGCACTGGCGCCGGCGGAGGTAGATAAATATGCTGCTAACGCTTTTATCTCCTGTGGTTTCTTCTTCATTTTGGCTTCTATTTACCCTCCCTGGCCGTAACTTTACCTGCCGCTCCTACAGTAGAAAGGGGCGGTCAATTGGACTCCAGTTGAAAGTCCCTGCAATCAGTTTCTGCGAGCGACATTAGGCTTTTGTGCTTGAAGCGATGCGGATCACTCCGCCATTAGGCAGGGACGCTAGGTACTTCCTTGTCCCCATGGAGCTGGTCACGTGACAGAAAAATCCCTCTTGGCCGCGGCCGCGACCGCAAGATGAGCAAACCAGCCCAGGCACCTTTTGCAGAAGACTAATTGCCCGCTGTCCAAACTTCACGCAACAAACTCAATCGACTTATCAGAATATGAATCACAACAAACACTAAGCATCGATAACGAGCCCTGATCACGTAGCAAAGGCATTCACCAACTGTGTAAGTTTGGCCTTTCCGCAATCGGGTGGCGGCTTGTGCTGCCCTATGTCATTCAGAAGAGGCTCTCAAAGCGGCTGCGCTGCTTTCAATTGAATGTATAGACACTAGATGGCGTAGGAGCAGGTGCGGCAGCATAAGGCAGAACCAACCAAGCACATGGCAGACGAGGAAACGTTGGACACGGATGTGCCTGCACGGCGATCACGGTTCAGCATCCTCAACTGCGATCCTCATTTGGAAAGATTAACCGTAGCAACTGCGTGGCTGTGACGTCAAAACCCAAGCTGAAACCAGAACCCCCAAATCCCAAACTACTTGGCACAATAACATAGAGCTGGTAGCTTTATGTTATTGTCCCTGAGTATAACAGTTGTCAGTTGTCCCTGAGTGTAACAAATTATATAGACCCAAAAAACAAGAATGCACGGCGTGGCAGCGGAGGCGGCGCGGCGGGGGTTTCAACCGTTACCACCACCGCAGTATCTCTCTTCTGTATGTGCACCACTTGAGAGTGACGATTTACGCAAAATAGATTACTTTTCACCTAGAAAATTAGTAATACCAGTCCTTTTTGCTTCGTGGATCTGCAAAATTGCTTCGTTAATGGAAATATTTGTTAAACGGGAATTTGTTGTAGTAGTCAGAGAAACACATTGAACAGATAGGAAATTGGCCGGGACTTCATTGTACTTCGTTAAACAGCTGTTTTCATAGTAGAGGCATTTGTCCATCATAAAGGCATTTGGCTGTACATTCAAACATCTGTTGGTGTTCTGGGTACTTTCTAGATCACTAGGGACCGCGACTGATGTCTGTCTCACGGTTAAAAACGCCGTAGCTTCAGCAAGTGAACCCTGAAGCACCTTAATAAAAAGAACATTTTCCATATCAAAGGAATGAAATTGTGCATATACAAGATACTCACCGGAGTGCATCCACAAGTGCAAAGAGTTCTTCCTCGTCAAGAAGGTCTGGCTTCTCAAAGAGTGTCCTCAGAACAAGGAGTGCCTGGAGAGACAGGTTACTCTCACACACTCATAAACATGCGTCACTATGCAAGCCCTTTTCATTCTACCAATTTACCTCGAGGGTGCCAATGATGCATCGTAAAAACAAATTAGAGACAAGCTTAACTTAACACACAAAGACCCTGCAATTAGAATGCGAAAATCATGCGCCAATAAATGACAAATACGCGAATCACACGAAAAGAAATCAAACGTTTAAAATAGAAACTCAACGATGTCATAGCACTTACATTTAGGCTCTTCTCACCTTTGGCTGCAGCCACTGTCAGCCCCGGCACGACTACTGCCAGACGGCTCGGCTTTCCCTTTTTTTTTTCCAGCCTCTTAATGCTTTCCGTAGACTCGCTTAGGTTTGTAGGCGTCTATTTTTTTAATGGCGGGTGCCGCCGCAGAAGACTGAATTGCCCAAGAATCACGTTTTCGATGCAGTCTCTCGAAGGGGCAGAAAGCGCTCGGTCGAAAGCGGATGATGATTGCGTGGCGCTTGCCGTGCCTACAGGGAGTTGGCGCCACTAGCGTGACTCTCAGACGCCTCGGGCATTTGCGTCGGCACTCGTCGGAAAGGAGCTGCTTCTCGAAGCTTTGCGAGGTAACCTCTATCGCCAATGTCACAGAATTAAACGGTGTTTTGTCTTTGTTCTTTTTGTTGCTTTCCGTTTTTGAGTGGAGTGTGCAAACACCAAAGATGCAAGCTCTAAGAAGAAAAAAAAAATTTGTCCTTTTTACTCTGGTGAAGGAAGAGCAGCAGGGCTGTAGCTTCTGTTCTCGGCAGTGGCTTTCCAGGCAAGCGATCTGCTCTTCTTTCGCAAGGGAATCTGAAGCGCTTGACGCAGGGAAACTTTAGGTGATAGCGGCCTCACGGCGGCTGTGGAACCATTCGCGCTGCTGCGTACATCGCCGCTGATTCCGTTCCCGCTCTTCTTCCTCCGAAGAAGTGCTGTCGCCATCTATGAGCGACGGCGGCAAGCAGACAACCGGCAAACACAACACTCTGGACAGCTACCGCCATCAATGAGTGACGGCGGCAACGAGAGTGTTGCGTCAACATTTTTTTGGTACCGGACACGATTCTGGGGAAACTAGCCCTTAACAGCTCCGCTGTAAAAGGAGAAGCCACGCGTGTATGGTTCTTGGTGGAACGCGGAGCTAGGTTTCGGCGAGGTTGTTGGTGGAACGCGAAGCAAGGCTTGGGCAGTAGGGTGTGGGTGGTCAAACCCCGGGCAAGGCTTTGTCGAGATGGTTGGTGGGCCCCAAGCAAGTGTTCAATGATGTGCACGTGTTTGTGAGTGAGCACTGCTCGGGCATCGTACGCACCCAGGCCACCACGACTTCTCGACCCCAACTGAAAATGCAAGGGACTGGACCCCCACTGACATTTTGGGACCCTGATTGGACTCTTCTCCTCCTCCGAACTGTATGACGTCTTTGATTTGGCTCTTGTTCTTTTTGTTACGTTTTCGAATCTTTTGTGTTTCTTTCGTGTCGTGGTTACGAAGAGCAGAACGCTCGCATAATATGTCCTATTCCTTTTTTTTTTCCAACTATCTGTGCGCTTTGTGCACCTTTACTTTATTTTTGAATTCTGTTGCTATTAAATAGTGTTTGTAACACCAGGCACAACTCGCTCTCAATTTCTACCGCCTCTCAGGAAGTCCATCGCCAAAGTGCGGCCCTATCACCTGGACAGTGTTCCAATTCAAATTGCAAATGTGCTTACTAATGGGATCTTTTCCACCCGAACCTGTGAGAGCCACGTTGCACCGTCAATGGAAGTTTGAGCTCGTCGCGTGCAGGCACCGACTTTACAGATCCTTCGACGGCAAGCACCTCGACCTCCGACACCCTACACGCAGCTTTGAAAGGACACTCCCAGAAGGCCCTCACCGTCTGGATGGACCACGGCGACAGCTGGCTCTTGGCTGCCGCGACGAAGCTCAGCAGGGCGTCGAAGATGTCGTCTTCCGCAGATGCCCCTTGTCCCATGGCAGTACGCAGCAGGCGGTGGTGGGACAGTGCCAGCCGGAGACAGGTCATGCTCTGGGCCTGCTCTCTGCTCAGCCGTGCCGGCGACAAGATGCTCGGCTTTACCACTGGCAGAGAGCAATCGGGGAACGCCTCTCACTTAGTGTTGTGTGGTAAAACCTCGCTACACTAAACTAAAAATGAACCGTCGGAGGAAAATTTAGGTGCATCTTAATCCTACATACAGTAATCCCTCCTACCAAAATCGCTTTTCTAAAATGATCCCTTTTAAAAAAAGTTTAACATGGTCCCATTGCTTATTACGAAGGCCCCGTTGCCGAAAGCATGCACGCCTACACAGAGACCCTTCAGTTCCCTTCTCCAGTGAGGCCAACGACAAACTGGGAAAAGGGCAAACAAGAAAACGAAGCAAACAGGTGACAGAGGGCAAAGTGTGCAGAGCGTCCAATGCCTCCTGTGGTGTAGCGCGTATAGAATGTACAATCTCCCCGTCTGTCAATAGCTCGCACACTTCAAAGTCGGCATCGATGTTCACAAAATCATTCCCGCGCACGTTGCCCAGCACTGGCTCCAGGGAAGCCGCCTCCGCAGACAAATAACTCAACGTCATCGACGTCAATAGCGTCAATCTGAATTGTTTTGAAGGTTGGAGTCACAAACCCGCACTTACGGAAACAGGTTGCGATTGTTTCTTGCTTAATGGCATTCTACGCTCGCTTCAGCATGCCAAAGGCACTAAGAAGACTGACATTGCAGTTTGTTGCAGTCCCTACAAAGAATCATGCGCTGTAGCAGGTGTTTCTGGTACAGCGTCTTATGCTTTGGATGACACTCTGGTCCATAGGCCGTAGAACAGAGGTTGCATTTGGGAGGGGGAAGAAATCAAGCTTTCAAGACCAGAATGCCGACGTGAGCGCTGCAGTTGTGAAAAAAAGCAGCACTTTGCGCCTCTCTGCCGGGAACTTTGCGTCTCTCTGCCGGGAACTTTGCGTCAGCCTCTCGGAAAAATGCAGTGGTCATCCGAGCATTCTTATTGGTGGTGTACTGTGTGGGAAGAGTTTTCACTCCTTTAAAAGATCTGGGTTTTTCTGCTTTCCCCAAAACCAGAAGCTTGCATTTTTCGTTGCCGGTTATGTTCACTGCCACCATGACGGTGACACGGTCCTTGCACACCTTTCTTACAGCGCACTCGTCGCTCCTAAAGGGGCTGTGCAACGATATTGGGTAGAAACGTTTCTTCTCTTTACATCAGCTATAGTGGCACTGGTGGGACCCAAAAATACTCAAGCACAACGCCACTAACCAAGAAACGACTTCGTTGCATTAAAATTCCAGGGATAAAAACGGACCTTTTTTTTCAGTCTCTCCTTCGCAAGACTTGATGACGGAGGTGTGGGGACAATGACAACAATGCGACATCAGGAGTGCATCATAAAGCTTTGCAATCCCCGCTGTGAAAATATTTAAATGCTGCTCACACAGTGCGCACGAAGACTGCGTACGCATTCGATTTTGGCTCGTGAATCTAATGCCTCGACACACATTAGGGTAGTGGCTCGTGCCCAATTGCTGGTACGACAGGATTAGCCAAAGCTTAGCAGTGCGTGGAACTCAGCGTGTGCCTCCTGCTCTGCCAACCCCAACGCTGGGGGTATGTTAAAAACATTGGTGGCATATAATGGGCTCCAGATCACGTGGCCGCCTTTTCTGGCTGCGAGTTCAGGGGGTAAACGGTGTTCGTTTTTCTCCGATTTTTTCTACGACTGCTACTGCAAAGGGAACAAAAGCAACGTGTATGTATTTCATATGTCACAAATGTCGAGGAATAATTTTAAGCTGTGTTTATTGAAAGTAGAAAAATCGTTCTTCCACCCCTCTAAACGTAATAGTTTTGTCGGGAGCATCTTGTAATAGAGTGAGGTTTCATCCGCATTAAAGACATCCTCAGGCCTGTTGCTCTGAAGGTACTCCCACAGTTTCCCACTGATCCGTCCTGAGCAAAGTTGGAGATCCACATCAGCTCATTCTCCGCAGACAGTTTCTACAATCTCAGCATCCATGGCAGGAGCAACAATGGGAATGTCCACGTCAACAAGTGCAAACAAATCGAAGTTATCCTCGGTGGCTTTGCTAACATGTTTTCACGCACTCCTGTAGAGATCGCTGCAGCTCTGAGAATCATGTGCCGGCTCTGCAAGCATGCTCGCGAGAGAAATTTTGACGGTTGCAAAGCAATTGGGGATCTTACATCTTTGGGTCGTGGGCGCGCTTTCCCTTGCATGAGCAACTTCTTGTTCTGGAAAATGGTAGACAGTGTCGAACAGCCGATGCCGAATTCTTTGGCGATTTCGGACTTGGGCCGGCCACTTTTCTCAACCTCGCTAAGCGACTCTCGGTAGACACCCCCCAATCTCCCTTCGATGCACGTGTGTGTATAGTATGCCCCAGACGCGTGTGTCGGGGGCTCCTGAAGGGATGATGTCCTCCGGTCTGCGTAGCTCCCTCGGCCCGATTCCATATAGTGATTTCGTTATAACGAGGGATTACTGCATTTTGCGAGTGTGCTCCTTTTTCAAGCCGTACTTCTCCATCACTTCTTTATGCGTCAGCCCATCTACGTCGTTGCGGATGGCCACTTTTGTTGCAATATCGACTGCCTTGTACTTCTTGCGGGCTGTTATGGCAAACAGAGAATCGTAACCGCCGGGTACTCTGACGAACACCGGCAAGAGGATGGACTGTCACAAAGGGAGTAATGCAGAGCACGTCTTAGCAGCAACTTTGTTGCACCCGCCGATAAAAGCGCAGGAGCGCTCCGGTTAGTGGTTGCCCGAGAGCGCCGCCCACGACGTCACCATGCGCAAGTATTATGATTACATAAGCCGCAGTGTTGCCAGACGGAGAAAAAAAGTCAGCAGATTGACGCCCAAAAAGTCAATAGATTTTCACAAAAATCAGTAGACTCTACGAAAACTGTGTTTTGCCATGTTTAGCTATCTTCATTAAACCACACTTAAAAGATACAGTATAGAGTAACAAATAACATAGTAATAAACACGAATAAAAATGAAAAAAAAAAACAGACCAGTTTTTGAGTAATTCTTTATGGAGGACAAAGTAAAATGGCACCGTGAATGTTTTTTTCTTTTGTTTATTTATCAGCATTGACTAGTGTTGCGATTTCGAGGATTATTCGTTGAAATCGAGACTGACCCATTTTTGAGTGGGTCATCTGCAAGCTGCCATCTTTCCTTACTGGGCTGTGGAAGGTTTTTGACGCAACGCTGCGGGCGCAGAGTTCTGTTGAGGCAACGCGTCATCTGCTACGGGCTTATTTCTTCATTGCCCGACTCAAAGTTTGCACTTAAACGTGGAGAAACTTAATTCGTTAGCTTTTTAAGCCACCAAGGAATAACATTATATAAATTTCTTTCCTGAGCCTGCCAAATAAAAGGAAAGAGCCGAAATTTGCATGTCGATCCCATGCATTCCGCCGGGCGAAAGAATGAAAATGGTGGCCCTTTCCGCCCAGCTGGGAGCAGCTGAGATTCCACGCGCATGCGCTCACGCCTCTTGCTCTGCGCCGCAGGCCGATTGGCTCACTCAGGAGGGAGACGTCACGGCGGCAAAATCATAGACTGGCCCAACTCTCCCCATATATGGCTCTGGCCCAGATGTGACCGTTGAACCTGCTCTGGGTGAATCAGGTGAATAGATAGATCAATATATATTGACCTATCTATCCAGACGGGCTTCTGGGTAGTGGTGCAAAACTATTGATAGTACTATCGATAGTATCGATAGTCGCCAGAAATCTGACTATCGATAGTCAAAAAACTATCGATAGTACTATCGATAGTATCGATAGTCGCTAGAAATCTATCGATAGTCAAAAAACTATCGATAGTACAATCGATAGTCGACTATCAAAAAACTATCGATAGTCGACTATCGAAAAACTATCGATAGTACTATCGATATTCGACTATCGAAAAACTATCGATAGTACTATCGATAGTCGACTATCGAAAAACTATCGTTAATCGACTATCGGAAAACTATCGATAGTCGACTATCGTAAACCTATCAATAGTACTGTCAACAGTTTACTATGGATAGTTTTGCGACACTAGCGGTTTGCGTCGCTCCCTCTTGTCTATTCATCGCTTTAATTTTTGTTTTCAAATGGGGCACCAACTAGCTTAGGCACTTACCATCCCAACTTTGGTTCAGCTTTCAGTGATGACGAAGATGGGAGTTTGGGCGAAAAAAGAAGGGGGTAGCGAGCGGTAGGGCGAGGGCAAGACGGGCCGGGGAGGAGGAAGCAGACGGAGCGCTGGAGAAGAGAGGGGGAAACCTCCTTCTTTCTTTAGCGTTCCGTCTGCTTCCTCCTCCCCGGCCCATCTTACCCTCGCCCTACCTTCTTGAGTTGTAACGGTCTATAGTGGTGCAAGACTATCGATAGCACTAGCGATAGTACCGTTAGTCGCCAGTATAGTAAAAAAACATCGATAGTCGACTATCGAAAAACTATCGAAAAACTATCGATAGTCGACTATCGAAAAACTATCGATAGTCGACTATCGAAAAACTATTGATAGTACTATCGGTAGTCAACTATCGAAAAACTATCGACAGTCGACTATCGAAAAACTATCGACAGTCGACTATCGAAAAACTATCGATAGTACTATCGATAGTCGACTATCGATAGTTCTGGGACACTATCGATAGTTTTGGAAAAACTATCGATAGTATCGATAGTCAATTTATCGATAGTTTTGCATCACTACTTCTGGGCCATCAGCCAGTGCTTCGTTTTTAATTCTGGAAGAATATGAGTTTCCTCTGATGGGCGACCCTGGCAACTGAAGGGGCCAAATAGAAAATTTAAACAGACATGTACAAGTTACTCAAAAAAAGTAATTAAGTTAAGTTACTGAGTATTGATGTCAAAAGTAATTTGAGTAGAGTAGAAATTACTCAAACAGAAAGTAATCGAGAAAATTACTAATTACTGTAAAAAAGTAGCGAATTACTTTTCAAGTTACTTTTGAAGTTACTTTTAAGTTTTTTTGTTTCTTTTATGGTCCAAAAAAAGTACAGA